GATAATCGTGGTTCTTCCTTAGGCTCGACATGTTTATCGAAGCCACTCTTACTTATGAGCCCTCGAGAATTTTGACCTCGATCATTCCTTTGATCATTTCGAACAGAATTATGTCCCGGTCCGTTGTTTCTACGATCTGCGCTATATGGTTGGTACCGATCTCTGTTCGATCAAGGCTTTTTGTCAATGTCTCTCTGAATCCTGCCTTCGGATCTATCTGGTTAAACGAAACCGGATAGAGCTCCCAACTGATCATCCTCGACTCTGATCTTTGATTAGTATCGATTATGCACATCGGCATAGGTCACCGTTGGATATTCAATCAAATTCTGCTTTAGTTGACGTAATCTACCGAACTTCGCTCGTTCAAACCCTGAGCAAAGGCTTGGACAGACCAATCATCGGTAACTGGGGGTAGGTCCATGCGCTCCATCTGAAATCGAGATACGAATGCCCTTAGCATTTCATTGTCCTTTTGTCTCACTTTGAAGAGGTCCGACTTTCTAGTCGCTACCTTTATTGCTCCAGCGTGTGCCTTTACGAACGAATCGGCAAGCATGGCGAAAGAATCGATGGAATTGGGGTGGCAAATTATGGTACCATATCATTCCCCCCTTCGATAAAGTTTCTCCAAATTTTTTCAACATAACAGATTCAATTTCATCGTCTTCTAAGTCATTTCCTTTTATTGCGCATGTTTAAGAAGTGGTATGCTCGTTAGGATCAGTGGTTCCATTGTACATGGAAATTTCTGGCATGCGGAATTTCTTCGGAATGGGCTTCGGAGCCGCACTTGGTAGGAAAGGCTTCTGTATGAACTTTTTCGAATCCAAACCGTTTAGAATCATGGGTGCCCCCGGTATTTGATCAACCCAGGAGTTGTACGTTTCTACCTTTTTATCATTAGCCTTGATCTCTTTTCTCCCGATTCAATCTGTTTAGTGAGCTCCTCGAGCATCTTCATGATGGCGGGATCAGTTCCCGATCTATTATCGTTCAATTTCGCCTATACGGGTTCGACCCTATGAACAACTTCCTGTGATATATCGAGTTCGATTCTGCTTGGGGCTCGATTCTAACTTTGGAGTTGCGCTATCGCGGCCTGCTGAGTTTGTAGCATGTCAAATATCATTCGAAGGCTAATTCCGCCTTCTTCACCATTTTGTGCGTTCTGATCGGCTGCCCGGGCATCTCTGCGGACGCTATTTTGAGGGTCGGCGCCTAAATCTCCACAAATGGCGACACGAGAACTGACATCAACCGGATCTACGGCCTATGGTGCGTCAGAATTGATTGGAGGTACTCCTTCCCGGGGCAGCTGCATGTTCGTTTTCACCTTGAAGACCAAGGTCGGTATCAGTGTGAGTGGGTACTGCCTGAGAGTTTGACATATCGATTCCTGAAATCAAAAATACTCACGAGAACTAGCGTAAAACCCGTGTGTGTTTTGAAGGTTAAAATATTAAGCAATCACTATTATCCTTAGCCTCACGGTGGGCGCCAAACTGTTTACCCTAAAAATTGAGTAACAATTAAACATATAATGTGGTCTTAAGGATATGTGATTTCACCTAATACCAATTGATAAACGTAAAGATAAATGATGCAAATTGACAATAATACAAAGCAAACAAGTGTTTAGTCAATGCCCTCGAGCTAATGAACCCTTGAGCTTGGTAGAGTAAGAACAGTTAAAGAGCAGCAAGTTGAAGAGCAAAAGAAAGAAGTATTATATTGCTTTGATATTCGTGAAGGTTAGGTGCTTTACAAATGATGGGGGCTCCCCTTTATACTAGAAGAATCCTAGTTTTGGTACAATTCTAATTACAGAAGTAAATCCCATGATTGGTACAAATAACCGTCCTTGATTTGACATGTTCCGGGATTTTCGCCGTGATCTCCGACCGGTTACGGATATCTCGCCTTTCCGTTATTGCACTTCACTCGGAGTCGGTCATACTTAGTCTCGATTGCTGCTGGCCTCGGTCTCGACAGACATCTCGATTCTTGAAGTCGACACCTCGTCTTCGTGCTATAGCCCGATTCATTACGAGGTTGACCCTCGACGCGATCTCGTCGTCTCGATTAAATAGAAAAATCGGGCAAGCCCAATTTTAACCGTATACAAACTAACCATAATTTTAGCTACGTTTGGGGTTGCTATTCATTCATCTCCCATCATTGGGCAGATATATAATTCAGGGATACAGAAATTAAAAGAAGCATTTTCTTTCTTGCTATATGAGTTCTGAATTCCCATATTGGATTCATTGCACCAAATCTTTGCGTTTGATTGCGATTCTTCAGTCAATGATCATCTCTCAATCAGTTTGACCCTGGCATTTACGCATCATGGATTTATTGCACAACAACATATTTAACATTTGACACCCTTATTTTTATATTGACTCCCCTTAATTAGATTCTGAACCATTAATTGTGTGAATTCCAGCTAAGCTTATTTGAGTCTGTAAGGCAGAACTTCAATCAGTTAATTCAATTTTGCACAGCGTATATGTGTTTCTTATGCTCGTTTCAAAGATTAGGATATGACATATCTGCATCTTACTTTTGTTCCTTTATACATGCTAACTTCACTTATATTTGACAAGACGGGTTTGTCCCTATCTACAACATCAGCATCGTGGGTTTGAATCACCAAAAGGAGCAATAGCTCCAACAAAGGGATCAAATGGGAATCAAAGGGGAGGAAAATAAAAAATAAAAAATAAAAAACTTATAATTCTCCAATCTTAATTGCTGTCTACTCTCTCTCTATATATTAATACACACACATTTTCGACCCAGTGCCCCCATGTTTTTATGTATATCCACGAGGGAAGTGTAGTCTTTATACCAAATCTAAGGCATAAAGCTAACCAACTATTGGTAATCTCCTGGCCAGAGTCTAAAGAGTAGTCACAAACAATCTCAATGGCAGACAATCAGCACACTGCACATGCAATTCCTTCTAACAACAGAGACACAGTCAAACAACGTAACTTTTGCAAGGAGGAAAAATAAGTAGAACCTCACAAGAAATGTCCCACAGCTTTCATAATTGAGAGACATGTTTGAAAGAAAAGCTTAAAATCTTAAATGCACTGCCTAGTTGAACATCCACAAGCATAATTAATTCCCTTCAAAATACAGCCTCAAATTCAACTATAATCTCTTAAAAAAATCTCGTAACACACATTAAAAATACCGTGTCAAAACAGTGGCAGATGTAGCTAGCGTTTGGCCATAGATCCTAAATTTATTTTGAAAAATCTGATTTGGGTGATATTTTGTTTGAAGATGAAAATGTGTTTGGACATACGTTTTCAAAACATATTTTCCAACTTTATTTTAGAAAAACATGTATATAATTCCAAAAGTTTTGGGATTTTAGCTGATTTTGGGAATTTGAGATTTGAGATTTGGGATTTTGCCAAAATATGGGCAAAATTTATGGCCAAACATGAGTTTTGAAAATAAATCTCAAATTTATTTTGGCAAAACTCATGACAGCATGGGTTGGCACAACCATTATCAGTTATCAAGATTTTAAAATGTGAGTTTATATTCTGTGCATTTACAACGAAAAGATTTACACAGTTGCAGTATCATGATAAGTTAGATCTATAATAACAAGTAACTTCACATTAGGCTTGATATGATAACCTGAAAAATAATTAAAATTACACTGGTCGTGTAAAAATTTTACTCGGTCAGCCTACATACCTTAACCTCAAAAAATATATGTTTATGGTAAAACTGCACCTTTTGTCATGGTGGGGTGCTGGGTATAGTGATACCTTTTTTGAATTGATTTTAAAAAGTCTGAATCCATTAGCTAGAAGCATCATGTGCAAGTTGATAAGTAGAGCCGTTAATATGGGCTTGGCCCGTTGGGTCAGTCCAGCCCAGCACATGACTTAGTAAGGTTGGGTTAGAATTTTTGGAGCCCAATTAAAAATGAGATTTTTAAGCCCAAGCCGAGTAAGCCCGTGGCCCGTGAGGCTTGACTGAGGCTAGGCTGGGCCGGCCCGTGAGCCTAATAAAAAATTTATGATATAGAAAATATACTGCCTCTAGCGATGGAAAGTCATAATTGGAGTTTTACTTAGAGGAACCAAAGCTTGATCTTTAGAAGTTTCAAGAGATGGATGTTGTCATGCACTGGAAGGACCATTCTAGAAAATATTCCGATCTTTCAGTGATGATTATCAATGTATCATCGGAATCAACATTTAGCATTGGTGGACGTGTTCTAACAAAGTACAGAACTTTCATCCATCATGAAAATGTCCAAACACTTGTTACTACTCGAAATTGGCTGCACGACTTTTCCCAAACTCAAACAGGTAATATTTTTTTATGTGATTTGAATATTATTAGTTTTTAAAATTTAATGATTCTGAATATTTAACTAATTAATATTGTATATGAATTGAAGATGTACATGAAAGTAAAGATATTAGGACAACCTTGCCACAAGCGGATTCAAATATGTTTGATGAAGATGATGGGTTGGATATCCCATAAGCGGTATAGGCATTCTCTTGAATAGTTTGTTTTGACTTTTGACTTTTAGTGAATGAAATATAATCTTGTCTTTTACTTTTTTAGTGTTTATTGTGATATATTAGAACAATATAAAAAATTATTAAGTTTTGCAAATATTTTTCAATAAGATATTTTTTTAACTTTTAAATATTTATCTTTTTTTAAGTTAGAACTTAAAGAAATAATATAAAATTATATTTTTAAAAATGATGGGCCGACCCATGGGGGCCCGCGGCCCACATAAGGCTAGAGTGGACTGACCATTATAAGACCCATCAAAATGATGAGCTAACCCAGCCCAACTCAGCCCATCAATTGCTAAAGCCCACGCAAACTGAACTGGGCTAACCCGGCCCGGTCCATAGTGACAGCTATATTGATAAGGCTGTAATTTTTCGCAATAGCTAGATAAACTAACCACTTAAGATGCTGAATTAAGGTAATCCCACTTGAGAAAAAAGATGTAGTTTTACTAATATGTTCTTCATAATTTCAGATATTCAAAAACATAAGATTTCTTGCTCTACTTCTGCAACTCTTTTAGTGTTCAGAAAACAAATTGCTAATACTATTCCGTAGTATCCCCACTCCTTGATCCCTTCTCTGCATCAGCTTCATCGCTCTTCGTAAGCCTTCAGTTCGTCCTATCTCGTGTAATCTGATTATCTGTTACTTCCTCTACAGTATCTTTCTGATCATTTTCTCCATCTTCTGATACTGAGCTTATATCCATATCCTTTTCTGGACTTTCGAGTTGTACGCACTCAGCCACTGAATCATGCAAACTGGAACTGTTATTTTCTGAATCAAGACTCCTGTTTGATGGAGTCAAGTCACCTCTCCTTACCACATTGAAGACAATTCCATTGTTAGTCCTCTCAGTCTGTAACAGATCACCTTCAGCTACAATAATTCTGATGTCTCTTTGATCAAATTCTGTATCTGATCTTCTATCTGGGGTTGTTACCCTTGGACTTGGGGATAGAGGCTCCCTGCCTCCCAACATATGAGGAACAACAATGTTGAGGTCAATACTCAATCCTCTGTTCGATCGTGAACCACTTTCCAAGTTCTGGACATAGTCGATAAACTTATCAGCCGATGTTGTCCTCATCAAAGGACCACCGGATCTTGTCCAAGAAGTGTGATCCGTACTTTCAGACTCACTGTCACTACCATGATCATGTGCATTCCGGTGGGAACGCCAATTTCGTCCACCATGAGCCAAAGAACCGCTGCCTCCCTGATGATGAGGGGAAGCAACCTCTGCATGAAAGTCTTCGAGGGAGCCTGTTGAATTCTCTCGTGCGATGCAATTCCAAGAAGGAATTCGTCGAGAAGCATTAAGCCTGACAGTACTGCTTGACAAGCCATGTGAAGAAGCAGCTGCTCTCTCGGCACTCCTTTTTAGTCTGCGCATGTGGTTGAGTATAGCAACACACTCATCAAGAACAAGCTCAATTCCACAATTTGCCTTAATAGCGGATAATTTCTCCCAAGTGCACCTCCTCCCTTGGTTTGCTGCTTTTTGAACCTCCAAAGTAGAGGGGTTTTGTATGAGTTTCGAGTACTGTATCATACACAACATTTGGAGGAAGGTTAGTTATGAAGCCAAACTCCAGATCTTACAATGAAAATAATCTTCAACCAACAAACTAAACATTCTTATTAACTCGAAACGTGTTTGTACGCTTGTGACTGGACCAACTATGGTCTATGGGAGATCTTCCCATTTTGTCAAACAGCAGGAAAATTACAAATTTCTCAAAGATACAGGTCCAACTGCTAAAGTTGCTGCCATGTGACCAGGAGGTCACGGGTTCAAGCCGTGGAAACAGCCTCTTGTACAAATGCAGGGTAAGGCTGCCTACAATAGACCCTTACGGTCCGGCCCTTCCCCGGACCCTGCGCATAGCGGGAGCTTAGTGCACCGGCCTGCCCTTTATACAGGTCCTACTGCTGATCTTTCTGTAAGTACAATCTATGTTACTCGTACTCTTCAAAAATGTTGTTGGGTGCGTGTCGGATCCTCCAAATTTAGTGCATTTTTGGAGGATCCGACACGGGTGCGGCAACACTTTTGGAGTGTCCGAGCAACATAGAGTAGAATAGGCTCCATTTTAAGCCTTAAAACAGCCATTAATTCTAACTAGGAAAAGAATCAACACTAGTCATGGACATACCTGAGCAAGAGTGGCAGGCATTACAACGGTGACGTGACCCTCCCAATCTTGAGCAAATAGCTTGGCTAATCCCCCCAAGGGAAAACCAAGTTCCAATACCTGATTACATCTGTGCTTCACCTCCATCTCAGTAAGATGAGCAAGCTGCATAGCCAAATACTTATCGTTACATTTGTCCACTTAAATTTGAAAAAAATCACACAACTCACATCAGCTAGCAAAAGTAACTAGGGACATAGCAAAGATGATTAACCAGTAACCACTCTTAGTTACAACCATCAAGGAAGAGACAGAAAGAAAGTATCAGCATAAGTTAGCCAAAGAGATATAGCTGAACATAATTTCGTAATTTCAGGATTACAGGAAGCATCAAAACAATACAATTGTACCTTGGCAGCAAAGTTGCCTCCACAAGCTCTTACAAACTCTTTGATCCTCAGTAAGGGAGCGATATGTGGATTCGCCTGACTGACAATGAAGTGATTTACATTGAAGAGCTCTTTTAGCTGCATCATTGGCAAATCAATCTCCAAGCTACCATCCCTCCACCGACGAGCAGCTGCACCAGAAGCCTCATCAGGGTCCAAATGAAATGGCGGGTGATACGGAACAAGATTTCCACTTCTATCCTTTGCCATAAGTTCTTGAGCTTCAAACAGACCAGGAAACGCGCAAGAAGCAGTCACAGCACTCCATATAACAACATGAGGTGAAGTCAAGTAATTCAAACATCTAGGAGGCTCATGTTTTCTAGGGGAGCAAACCGTAATCCCTAAAACTCGACCAGTCATGTCGTATGCTTCTTGGAACGTAAGATTATTCGTGAGATGGCGTAACATCACCTGCAACTGCCTTATCTCATGTACAGCACCTTGTCTCATGACCCTCCTGAAAACTGTAAAAATTCCACCCATCTGTTCAAATGGTTGCAATGAGTGCCATGAATCCTCAAAAAAACTCTGTAGCTCAGGCCAAGACCGAGTCGCAACGACAGAACACATAATTGAACCAACACTTGAACCAGCAATTATCCTAGGCATAAGCTTGTGCTCTACCAATGTCTTCACCACACCTACATGAAAAGCTCCTAAAGAAGCACCCCCACTTAAAAGTAAAGCTGTCCTACCAAAGGCATGCCTAGTTTCATGCATAAAAGCAAGCTTCTCTTCCAATAAAAGCTCATCTGAATCAGAGTCACATACCATTTTCAACTGAGTTGAAACCTCATCTATATACTCTTTAATAAGTTTAGGCACATGAAGTCTACCCTTAAGAAGTTCTGGATTGCACATATTACCTAGATTTCTCACAAGATCAGCTCTCATAAAGAACATAATATCTCTTAAAGATCCTTCTTGACGACGATGTTGAAGTTCTTGAAGTTTATTTATAACTAGTTCTTCATCATAAAATTCAGCCTCATTCAATTTAGGTGCCTCTTTTTCTAGCATTTTAGCAGCATGAGCCCACTCCTCATAAGTTAAGGCAGATCTCATCATATTCCTCCAAAATTTCCTCCTATTAGCCATATCAGCTCTGATTTTAACATTCGTATATCGCCTCAACAAGAAGGCAAGAAGTGTTACTAATGCCAATATACCTTGTGGGTTACGAGGGTGCAACCATTTAATCAAAGGTGTCAAGTAGTATGAAAAATAGTTTCTAATCTTGTTCAAGTAATATATCAAGAAATGAAAAATTTTATGCCTTAACCTTGAGATTGATTTGCAGAACAAGACTCTAAAGGCTATTGTTCGACCCACAATTGAAGAAGGTCCAATTGAAAAGAAGTCAATACTAGCCTCATTACTTATGTCCATATTGTATGAAATATTATCAAGAACCAATACACAAATTGAAAACAACTAATATGAAGAAAATTATTCACAAAATTCAGTGGAAGTAAGATGGAATCAAGAATTAACTAGAGAAAGTATGAACAAGTAGAGTTCAAACAGTGACTAAATCAAACTGAATATCTCAATATAAGTCAAAGAAAAAACAAGAATTTCACTTCAAGATTCAATTTTTATCATACCAACCAAATCAATGTCCAAAAGTTCCTAGGAAACAACATGAAAAAATAAAAATAAAATCAAAGTACCCCTAACCAAACATTTCAGACACTTTCCATATAGAGTTTAACTTGAACACTAACAAAGAGAAAAAAAAAACAAGCACCGACTAAATTCTAAGAATCAAGAAGGTGAAAACAATAAATGAATGGCATGTTGTATGGGTTTAATAAATAATTGGGATTCGAGAATAGTAGTAAGAAAGTCCATAACTTTGAGTCAGATAACAACGATATGTGTCAGCTATAGCAGTATGGATAGGCATTACTATTGGAACTTGAAATTAATATTTTTAGTCAGCAATTCCCAAAGTTTGTTACAGATTTAGAAAAAAGACAATGACAATGCACGACCCATTTGTTCTATTATCCTCTATGTCCTTTCTGCTTTTGGCCATGTCAATATGGTTTTTAGTGTGTGACCACAGAGTGGTCTAATGAGTCTTGTTGCATTCATCTGACGATCTTTGTCACTGGCTTCATCTTATTGCTTGCAAGCAATCACACAGACGAATTTTTAGAAGTGTATGATAAATGTAGACAATTTATCTGGATTGAAAAATATTTCAGAAAAAAACCAATGAGGCCCTAAATTAGGGGTGTTTATTTCGGATCGAGCGGATAATTACGCTTAACGGTTCGACTTATCGCCATCCAATAAGACAACGGATGGATATCGGATCGACAATTACCGGGTGGTTAGGGCGGTTTATCGCTAAACCAAATAGAAAATTTTTGAACAATCAATACTAAACGGCCAAATGCGTAGTTCAAACTGTCTCTGTTAGTTGTAGTAGCTTTTCCTGATTAGAAGCCAAATACGACTGCCAATGCCATTAGCTACAAACAGACGACAGTTCTATTGAGAATTAGAAATTAGGGATTTAGCCATTTAGGTTTTAATAGTACTTCATATACATAGGGCAAAAGTATAAATATAAAAATTCTTAATGGGTTAACCGTTTATCCGATAAGAAAAAATTGAGTAATCCGCCCCAAAACTGTTAAACCGTTAATTATAAAATCTCAATCCTCTAACCATCCATTATCCTGATAATCCGATACCAATAAGCCAATAAACTATTCATTCGATTCGATTAACGGTTTTGGTTCGATTTTGAACCGCCTGCCTTGAATCGACGGTTATCAAGCTAGGATGAAGTTGTAGAGACCAAAGTCCACCATTCACTCTTTGTCGACAAGTGCTTCTGCTTAGTTGCAAGCAATCACATGCTAGATTCTTGAATAGGTGTCATGTTGATATTTGTCGAGAGAAGAAGTTAATGTCTCTTTGTATTGATGAGCAATTTTCATCTCATCTCATAATTACTCGATTTTAGGATTGAATTAGATTGAGGTTCATTTTCTTAAAGTAATATCAAAAGTTAAACTCAGTCAATTTATTGGTTTTTTTCCCGTGTTGGATCCGCATGATATTATTCATGCTTCAGATGTCCCTGACAAAGAGGGAAGGGATGTTAAATTTATTAAATTTAGAATTTTAATAATGATCAATAACTTTAGAGAAGCCTTGACTAATGTTATATTATTGTATGCAGATTCTGGTGAGCAACAGCATTAATAAAAGAAATGAAGCTCCTCTTAACGGCTATGTATCTTGAACCATTGCCTTATATGGTAAATAAATCAGTCAGCCTAAGAAGAAGAGAATCAATCATTCAAGTGTGCAAAAATGGAACAAATCTCGGACAGACAAATCAGTGTTAACCAAGATCCTCAAACATGCAAGAATGGAGCAAATCACGGGCAACAATCAAACCTGCAAGATTCAGCAGAAGCTCAAGCCAAGATAGCAAGAAGGAATGACGAAAACAATCCGCCAAGATTGAAGCAATCAGTCAAGATTAACTCAAGTCAAGGAAGCAATTCATAAGGAAAGAGAAATGAATCTAGCTACTATTTCATGCTAGATTCATGAGGCAACTCTTGGGTCTTTCTCTTAGAAGTACATGCCTCACAAGGAAAGGATTCCTAGAATTGCTCAGGACAATCCAAGAAGTCAAGGAAGCAGAAGACTCATGAAGCTTTAAAGGAAGAAGCAGAAGGACATTGAACTTCACGCAACTACAAAAACTGTTGTCTATACGTTTTTAGTTCTTACTATAAACATATTCTACAAGTGTAACAAAATATAGAAAGAGTTAGAACACAAAAGAGAGTTGTGTCAACATTACAAAGATCATTGTTGCTGAACATCGTTGATGGTGAACGCACTAAAACCATCACCTTTGTTATCCTTTACCAAAGATCTAAGAGAACCTTTGTGACCCAGGGAACTGGACGTAGGTACCACGCCGGTACTGAACCAGTATAAAAACTGATATGTCTTCTTTACTTTTCTGTTAGTCTATTTCATTCTTACTGAAGTTGTTCTCTGTGCAAAACCTAGTCGACTAAACTAACACTTAGTCAACTAGAATTTTAATTGGCTACAATTCACTCCCCTCCCCCTTCCCCTCCCCCTCCCCCTACCCCCCTCCTAACCCCCACCCCCCCCCCTCCCTTGTACTTTCAATTGGTATCAGAGCAAGGCTCAGAAACTTTGCTTAACAGCTAGTAAGGAAAAGATCATGGGATCGAACACAGTCATCGGTGCACTATTTCAAGAAGAGAACATCTTAGGTACGACCTCCATATTTTAACGGACAACACTTTTCTCAGTGAAAAATGCGTATGGAAACATACACTATGTCATATGACATCAAAGTTTGGCGTGTGATAAAAAAGGAAAATCTTCCAATTCCGGCAAAGAAAGAAGAGAATGGTCAAGTCATAGTATCAACTGATCCACTTGACTTAGATGATTACACCGATGAACAAGCTGATGTCATAACTGTGAATGCCAAAGCAAAAAATCTACTGTATAATGCTATCAGTGGAGAAGAGTATGAAAAGATTTCAAGCTGTAAAACTGCTAAGGAAATGTGGGATAAATTGGAGGTCACATATGAAGGAACCAACAAGGTGAAAGAAACAAGGATCAATCTTCTAGTTCGTGACTATGAGCTATTTCAAATGAAGGGATGGAGAATTAGTGAAGGAAATATTCTCCAGGTTCAGCAAAATCCTTGAAGATCTAAAATCTTTTGGTAGACCAATAAAGAGCGGAGAAACAGGTCAAAAAAATTCTTAAAAGTCTACCCACAATTTGGCAGCCCAAGGTTATTGCTTTGGAATATCAGGACCTTGACAAAATGTCCTATGATGAACTTAGAGGTGATCTAATTGCCTTTGAAAAAATTCACTTGGACAGGCAAATTCAACAAGAAAAGAAGAAAACAGTTGCTTTTAAAGCAACCGTGGCTGAACTAGAAATGAAGAGGAAGAGGAAAGAGGAGAATAGGATGAAAACATAGCCATGCTCTCCCAAGTTGTAACAAGCATGATGAGGAAAAACAGAAATAACAGGAGAGGTAAATCAAACTTTAGAAAAGGAAGGAAGAATAATGAAAATTATAAAATGATGGAAGATGCTATGAATGTGGAAAATATGGACATATTCAAGTTGATTGTCCCAAATTGAGGAAGAAGCTCACCAGGAACCTACAAAAGAAGAAGTCCTTTGTAGCCTGAAGTGATGAAGAAGAATCTGACCATGAAGAAATTGTAAATATGTGTTTCATGGCCATAAAAGAAGATAGCAATGAGGACTCAGGTGAATTTGGGCTCGTGGCAACGAAGGAGCAGATGAGGAAGAAGACTCAAGTGAACTTGGTCTTATGGCAGACGAGGGAACCAATAAGGTAAGTCTTCCTACATGTCCCAACTGCTATGAACTCCAAGAATTTGCTGATATTACTCTTGCAGATATGAAAGAGTTCTAAATGAACTCAGAAAAATGCAAAGAGAAAAGAAAGACTGTGCCTTGAAGCTGGAGGTTTGTGAAATTGAGCATGACATGCTTCAAGATGAAGTTAATGAACTTCAACTTCAACTGAATGGATTATGAAAATCCACCAGTCATAGTTCTGTCAAATCAAATCAGGCTGTTCCTCATACATCTTTGATTAGAACTAGAAACTCTCATGCATACTCTTATTGTGGTAAAAATGGTCATAACACTACCCAATGAAGGAACAAAATCAGAGCAGAAAGGGGCTCTGAAAATCCCAATAATCCGTCGTGTTTTTATTGTGAAAAACCTGGTCACACTTGTAACCATTGCAGGTTCAAGGACAACAGCAGATGGGTCTGGAGACCTAAATCCTCTAGTCAAGCTAACACTCAAAAATTTAACCATTCAAGACCCAAGCAAGCTTAGGTACCTAAAAACAAGTAATTGTGTTTTGCAGGAACACCAAAAGAAGAATCGAAAAGGAAAATGGTATCTTGACAGCGCGTGTTCCATACATATGACTGGTGACAAACAATTATTCAAAATTGTCGTCAAACTAGATGGAGGAATAGTTACCTTTGGAGATAAATCAAAAGGAAATGTAATTGATTTGGAAAGGTTCCTCTCAGCTCAACATGTGATGTAGATGAAGTGTATCTGGTTGATGAACTTGGTTACAATCTTCTCAGCATTAGTCAACTATGTGACAATGACTACGAGGTTCCTTTCAAAAAACATGGTTGGTTTACTAAAGATGAATCAGGTAAAGTTATTCTCTCTGGAAATAGGGACAGAAATGTTTATACTATCATCAACTTAGATAGTGTTGGTAATCAAATTTGTCTAGCTTCTATCTTGATGATCCTTGGGTATGGCACAGAAAACTTGGTCATGCCAGCATGCATACTATTCATAAACTTACTAAAAATGATCTTTTCATTGGTCTTCCAAAACCAGATTTTTCAAAAGATCAAATTTTTTATGCATGTCAACTAGGAAAACAAACTAGGTACTCCTTTAAATTGTTTCCACTACAAAACCTCTTCAACTACTGCATATGGATCTTTTTGGACCTACTAGAACTGCTAGCATAGATGGTATAAAGTATGCTTTTGTTATAGTAGATGATTTTTCTAGATTCACTTGGGTTATTTTTCTAAGTCACAAGGATGAGGCATTAAGAAACTTTGAAGTCTTTTGCAAGAAAATGCAGCGTGAAAAAGGTTACTAAATTTCCTCCATAAGAAGTGATCATGGAGGAGAATTTGAAAGCAAAGCATTTGAGAACTTCTGCAATGATCAAGGGATCTCTCACAATTTCTCTTCCCCAAGATCGCCACAACAAAATGGAGTGGTAGAACGTAAAAATAAAACTCTACAAGGCATGGCAAGAACCATG